CAGAGACTCACATTTCAAAGTTCACCATGCATCCGACAAATATTAAGATGTACCAAAACATGCAGCCCTGATTCTGGTGGAGCGGGATTAAAATGAAAATTGTTGATTTCGTCTTCAAGTACCTTATATGCCAGCAGGTCAAAGTAGAGCATTAATGTTCAGGCGGTTTACTTCAGCTATTACTAATCCCGGAGTGAAAATGAGAACATATCACCATATAATTTATAACATGATTGCCTAGGGCACGCTCGGGACATGATGCGATCTGGATGATTGTTGACCGACTCACTATGTCCTTTCATTTTCTGGCCATCAAAATGACAAATCCATTGGACAAGTTAGCTTGAATCTATATTCGAGAGATATTTAAACTACATGGAGTTTCGGTGACAGTAGTATTAGATAGGAATCCCAGGTTCACCTCTAAGTTTTGGACAAGTTTTCAACAAGTAATGGAGATAAAATTGTTTCTTAGTACAACATTCCACCCCCAAACAGAACGATAATCAGAGCCAAATATTTGCATATTAGAGGATATGCTCAAGCTTGTGTTCTAGATTTTGGAGGGCACTGGGATGACCACCTACCCTTGGTAGAGTTTATCTATGATAACATTTATCATACAAGTATTGGTATGGCTCTGTATGAAGTATTGTATGGCCGACCTTGTAGATCATCGATCTGTTGGGAAGAGGTGGGCGATAGGAAATTGATTGGCCCAGATCTTGTAAATGAGACCACAGTGAAGATTGGTAAGATCAGGAAAAATATCCAAACGACTTAGAGTAGGTAGAAAAGTTATGCAGACACTCAAATGAGATATTTTGAATTTAAAAAAGTCGATCGAGTGTTTCTTAAGGTCATCATCTTTAAGGGTATCACTAAGTTTGGGAATAAGAGAAAGTTGAACCCCTAGTTCATCGAAGCATTTGAGATTTTGGACAGGATTAGGGTATCCGCTTACAGACTAGCACTACCCCCAAAACTATCCAAAGTCCATAACATCTTTAATGTGTCAATGTTATGTAAGTATAACTATAACCTCTCACATGTCTTATCTGACAAGCCACTTCCATTTCAATATGATTTATTTTATGAGAAGGTACTGGTTAGTATTTTAGACCGGAAGAATAGAGTGTTTCGCAACTGAAAAGTTTCTTTATCAAAATCCTATGGCAAAATCACTCGCAGGACGAGACCCACTAGGAGTTGGAAATAGACTTCAGGACTTAATATCCTCAATTGTTCGACTAGGGAGAGGGTAGCAATTTGAGAGACCAAATTTTCTTAAGGGACAAAGAGTTGTAACACCTCAAGCCCAGAAATTAGGCTTGGGATGACAAAATTTATTCTAAATAATAATTATGAAAATTGTTAATTTTAATTTTTTTTAGAATTTTTGAATAAATATATATTTTGGATGTATTTAAAAATAATTTTAAAAATGAGGGGCCAAACTAAAAAAAAGTAAGGACTCATTTGAAATAAAAATTTGAAAACTGGGGCAAAAATATAAAAATAAAATAAAAATTGCCAGTAGTCGTGCGCCGTGTGGCAGACACGCGGATACGCATTGCACGCGGGAGGCCACACGGGCAATCCGTGTACCAATCGATCCAACAGTCCCCATTCACTTCCGCACGCACGGACGACCCAGATCTGTTTCTCCATCAGGCACAATCGAATGGTCCACGAGCCTTCAATCGGATAGCCCTAATTTGCTTCCCAAATAGGCCAGATTCGACGGTGGAGATTGG